AGGACCCATCTCTCAATTCTTCAACCTTTGATTTTCCTCAATATGCCGTCAATGAAGACTACATTGACCGGCATGTTGAGAATAATCGAGAGTTATAGACTTGGGAGATGGGTCCTGATCCTAATTCAATTGTCTCATCTCAGCTGCCTTTTATAGAGGACTGAAGAAGATATCTATCCTCTTTGATACGCGCGCCGTTATTAATTTGCCGAAGACTGAGGGGACGTTTCGGAGAAGAGGCGACTCTTCAAATTCGCAGAACTGCGAACAAAATGTGATGAATCGCAATTCATTCGCATAACTATATGAATAAATGATTTCGCATATATCTGGTTAAAGAAGATAACTATCCTCCTTGATAAGCGCACCGTTATTAAGATTTGAGGGGACGTTTCGGAGCAACTCTTCAAATTCGCAGCACTGCGAACAAAATGTGATGAATCGCACTTCATTCACATAACTTTATGGCAATAAATTATTTTGCATATATCTGGTTAATCAAGAAGATATCTATCCTCCTTGATACGCGCGCCGTTATTAATTTGCCAAAGACTTGAGGGGACGTTTCGGAGCGACTCTTCAAATTCACAGCACTGCGAACAAAATGCGATGAATCGCACTTCATTCGCATAACGTATTTACAATAAATGATTTCGCATATCTGGTTAAAGAAGATATCTATCCTCCTTGATACGCGCACCGTTATTAATTTGCCAATGACTGAGGGGACGTTTCGGAGCGACTCTTCAAAATCGCATTTCAGTCGCATAACGTTTTGACAATAAATTGCATTCTGTTTCGCATATCTGTTTAAAAACATATACTACGTAAAATAAAAAAATTGTTTTTAATGCGCCGAAGACTGTCATTTAATTGAGAGTGTAAAAGACGCAACCTGCCAACCTTTATTCGCAGCACGGCGAATAATGTGCGATATATCGCATATCATTAGCATACCTAAAATTATGGAGGGAAAAAATCCCGCCCAATGAATGAATTACTAATAGAAGATAAAATGTTTGAAAGTGAGCTAAGGTATAGATAAATATGGTTTATTGTGAAATTGATTGACAATAGAAGAAAGTCACTTATTAAAAAAAAATATAATAATGTTCAAGCTCAATCTTAGATAAAATGTTTGAAAGTA